TTGCAAGTCCAGGATGGTTAGCGGTTTAATGCTTTTCCGTCGCCTATACTCGGCGAGGCGTGAGGCCGTATTTTAAAACGAAACACTGCCCTAGGTCGTGTTCTAATTACGCCGGTGGCCGCTTGATAAAAAGAGTGGCTGCAACACATGTAACTCGCGGGTAGGTATCGTAATTAAGTGCCGCGACCTGTTTGTCGTCCAGGTGTCTTGCCCGAAAATAAATCTCTTGTAATCGAGGGCCAGCAGCCTCGATGGAGAGAACAAAAGGCTGAAAATATTCGAGGGCCGGTGATATCTACGACGGATGCAGCCTTTGAGCATTCGTAAACGGTTGATTCTCGACGAGGTGTTCAGACGCAAACGATGGACGACGTTGTTAGTCCCATTTTACTAATCCACGTATTGCTTTACGAATCACCGTAAAGTGGACGGGTGTTTAGAATATGGACTGTGACACGCGTTTTACCTCGAGAGCACTTTCGTAATCATTCAGTTTTATGACCAGGGAACTCGTAAAGACCTTGCAAGCTCTCCACTTTATTCCCGACTTTAGGGGAAATCAATTTTGTAATCTAACTTTATCAACTTCACTCACCTCGGATGTTTTATTCATTTACTGTCTCCTATAAAATGATAATCATTGCTTCTAAAAAGATGTTTATCCATGAAACGTGGAGCCAATAAAAAGCACCACGTTCAATGATTTTATCGAAATATATGAATTCATTATCTGATCATTAAACGAATTTATCATTGTATTCTAACAATTATGTTAGGATTTATAATTAAGTCAATATCGTTTATTTTACGAAAGCCAATAATCCAGAAAACAAAGTGTCTAATAATACTTTTGCAATCTAACTTCGTCAACTTTGTTCATTTCGTATAATTTATTCATTTACTGTCTGCTTTAAAATGATAATCATGCTTTCAGAAAGATGTTTATCCATGTGGAGTTAATAAGAACCGTCACATTCAATAAATTGTTAATCATTCTATCAAAACATCTGAATTCATTATTATATAAATGAATTTATTTTTCTATTTTAACAACTATGCCAGGCTTTATAATGGAATCATTGACCAGAGTAGAATTTGAAATTTTTCTTACTGAGTCGTCGTCGTTTATGTTGTGAAAGAAAATAATCCAGGAAGCACAATCTGTAGCTCTCGCTGAGCAACGAGAAAAATTCAAAAGAAGCGTATTGATTTTTTTCTTCACAGTACGGTGAATAACACGGTGAGACGAAGAAAAAACTTCGTGTTCACCGTGATACTAGGAATACGTCGCGATTCGAAGATCGATAGCTAGTCGACGTGAAAAAAGGGGTAGACGCATGCAAACCACTCGTGTAAATCGACGATTAACCGTTCGTCACGTTCTACGGTGAGGAACGAGTTATGTATACGTACATATATATTCGATACGAGGAGACAGGACAGGGAGATAGCGAATTATATAAAGTTCGACTAATTAAGAGTTTATTATCTCTGGTAGAAATCGTATCGGAGTTAGTAAGTTCCTACGGTAATTCTCAAAAAGCTTCAGACGTACGAATTTCGGGAACTTCCCTAATTTTCCGCAGCCTTAATCCGCAGCAGGGGTTTTAGTATTTTCAAACTCCTCATTACTGCATCTTTGAATTTAGTTCCGTCGAATTCGGTAAACTTATTTAGTTTAGGACTACCTGCTCTTATAAAGTTAGCTGTGGATTTTTTTAATTCTAATCTGTTTCTCAAGTGAAACTGGCTTATCAGTTCTTTTATAATTTAAATACGTTATGAATTTATTATAATTATCATATATAAAATATTAAGTAAGAACAAAAGGAATTTTTAAATTAAATAATCAGAATAAGAAACGAGAGCAGTAAATGTCAATTGACAAAAGGTAGTCCTATTTCTTACACGACCTCTGATCTACACACCGACTGATCACGAAATTAATTAGTCGACTCATTAATTAAGCCACTCGATCATCGATCTCGCGTACAAGTGAGGATGGCTCGCGTCACGTACCACAGAACCGTGTTTCATCATCATTTCTCGACAGTCTCGTTTTTCGCCCTGATAGGGAACATCGAGCTGCCTGTGCAATTATGCAAAAAAGCACGAGTGAGTCATCGAAAGGTGCATTCAAACCAAACAAGCGAAAATGATCATTGAAGCTAAGGTCAGTCGAAACTAAGACTGCAAGCTCTCGAACATTGCACACGGTTTTCAAACGATTGCCATAATGATACGCAACAGTGATACGATACGAAGATATGATACAAATGGATTTTATGATACAAACGATGAACATTTGTAACTGCGTCGGAGAAAATTCAAGGGTGGCAGCCGCCGCGATAGTTGACGATATAATATCATTTAGTATCGATTTGCCGACACGGGGGGCCGCCGACGATTCTTACCAAGGTAATCCTTGCACGCAGGAATGTCACGAAACGCGGCCGTGTTCGAGTCTGAATAGCGTTCCGGGCCGCGTTCGTAGGTACGCGTGTTTGTTTGTGTGAAACGGTGCATGCGATGCCCGTGGCGTCGCGTACTTTGTTCGAGCTTAGTACGGCACGTTCGCCTAAATGTCCCGCGCGATTAAAATCGAAAATCTATTCAATTGGCCCGCGGAACTATGGTTACGGTCGAATATATTTGGCGAGGACGAGCTCGTTCACGCTAAACGCTTCCGTAGTTAATTGTGCTACGGCCGCGTCGCTCTATTTCGTTTAATTACCCAATTGCAACGCGTCGTGAAACGCGCGAAATGGAAAAAGACAGACAGTGACGTCCCGTTCGAGGGTCAAACGGGCAGCCACCGTTCCGTGATCGTTCGACATTCGCCTCTACAATTAGGTAATGAAATTGTTCAAAAAATCTGCTAGCGAGAAGAGAGCTTTCATTATTTTACATTCTGAGAAGCACAGCTTCATTAAACAAATGATGCTATCTGAAAGTATTCGTGATACAGAACTGTTCCATATTCAAATGAAAATTTCCACAAAACCACTCTAATCCTTCGTTTGAAAAGAAACTGGAAAATATTTTATCCGACTGTCTTATATATAGGTCACTACGTGTTCGACGTTGATGAACACTTTTTGTCCCGGTTTTAAATTTTCGGTACACTTCGTAAACCGGTCGGTATTGAATATTTATTCACAACCTGATGCTCGCGTCGTTCGGAGCCAGTCGGCGAACGCGAACTTGCTTAGGGTTTGTTTGAACCTCAGTTGGCATGAAGCCACCCTCGAGAGCAAGAATATGACGTGCAGGGAAATTGGAGAGACGATTTCCCCCCACGGTACCAGCTGAACAACAATTGTATTCCGTCAGGAAATCGTGCTTCAAACGGATATCGATGCCAACGGAGTTCGGCTAAATGTTAGTGGAGCAAAATAAAGAGAAGTTCTCGCGAATAATGGGAGACTATAATTTCTTAACGGCAATAAAGAGACACATTATGTCATTAACTCTGATCGCACGAACATAAATAATCCTCATAATACGAGATTATGAATTATAACATATTTTTATAATAATTCTAAAGACACGTGAAACTCCGCGAATTGCTAGCCAAGTTCTCGACTAATTTCGTCGTGTTGGAGTTAGACGTTGCGTATCTACGTCTTTAATAAATGAAATTTTAATTAGCTACCTTCCTCCGTCATGGTTTGACAACGGCTCAGCTCGAGGGGGACGAGAGGCAAGCGAAACTGTTTTACTGCAACTGCGGCAACTGGGAGCCAATCCTTGTGCAATTTGCAAATGCATTACAAAACCATATGCGCGTTGGGAAGTGGTGGCTGTCGGCACAATGCGATGTTTGCTATACGTAGTTTTGATTGAAAATGCATTGGGACGTTATCGGACCGCGGGTTATCGAAAATCGTGTCCGACCTTCCGCTGAAAAAAGAATTTCTATCGCGTTATTGCGCATTGCAGAATAAACAGACATTTTTCCTTCCTCGGTTGATACGCTTTATCTCTTCCTGTCTTTTTTTTCTTTTTTTATCTTTGACTACGACAATTTCTTTTAATACGCAGCTTAGATTTGAATAACAGAAATGGGAAAGGAAAATACAGATCGTTAATTAAGAGGAATATGGGGAACGTGCATACAATAAATTGCAATTTAAACCGTGTCCGGTGCACACGGTATCCATTGCACCTGATACGGATTAAGAGATTAAAGGGGTAACCTAAAGAAATTCAGGGAACGCGGAGATACGGGAAATTCGCGTGGATTTAACGATCGGGAGAAAGAGAAACCACTGGGCTTATTCAGCCAAGAAATAAGGACGCAAATCAGAGCAGAAAGCGGAGAGGGGAACCGAATTGCGCCTCTTAAACCGGCGATTGAACTTCCCCCGGAGGGATGGTTAGCGATGTCTTAATAAATTCAGTTGGTCAATTGCTGGCTTCGAGAGGCCTGAAGATCGATTAAAAGGAAGAAGACGCTTTGTCTTGCATCCTGTGACATTTCAAGTACACACAGTTACTCGGATTTTATTGAGACGCAGAAAGGGTTGTCGTACAGTTATAGCTCATCACGTAAATTATTGTACGCGGATCGAATAGCCGTGTTCGATCCCGAAACGCTTATCGCGAACATGATTCGCCGAGCGTACGCGTTTCGTTGCTCCACAGAGAGGGCTTAGAGCGACTGGAGTGTGAGGATATCTTGACATTAATCGACACGTAGTCCCCTGTCGATGCTGGAAAAATATTTGCTCGAATATTGATCAACGGGAAAAAAGGCGAACGAGATACGGAAGATAATCATTAGTATAATCAAAGTGATTAGGATCATCGTTCAACAGGACGAATAAAACGATGTCTCTAATATTAGGATGACGTAGAAAGATATTTTTAAGTGCTCGGAATTATTCAGCAGAGCGGACGGATTTCTACATTTAAGTATTAATGAAGAAACGAGCAGCGGTGCTTTTATCCTAATAAGATTACGATCTGACGGTGTAGAGAGAAAATAAAATGCTCACCCTCGGTCGTGGTAATCTCCGGCTGTTCGGATATGCCGAGGACCATCCGGTCCTGGCCGATCCACGAGGACACGAGGATCACGCAGACGATCCTGGCCGCATAGCCGGGCATCTTCGACGCGATGGACGCGGATGACGGCAGGGACGTCGTCGCGGTGACGGCGTCGGTGGCGTGCATCCTGACGACTGGCCCTGACACGCGGCCTCTTCTCGCGCCTTCACCCTTCTCTGCTCTGTCGCCGGGCCACCCTTATGTACGCATACGTGGCACGCACCCCCGGAGCACCTGCACGCAGGTCGAGCCTGCCGTACCTACTTCCGGTATCACATATCCGTGCGATCGGCTCGTATGATCGATACCACGCGCATATCTCCGGACGTTCCACCGGACTCGGTTCCACGCAGGGAGTATCGAACGAGGCGAGACAGAAGGGGCGGGAGGGTAACCGATCCGCGAAACGAGCTTGACCAGGTGACCCGTGGTGGTCCTAACGCTGCCTCTTAGGGAACCGCCGGAAAGGAAGGGGCAAGGTCCGCGAACACGTTGCGAGCAGTTTTGCCGCAGCCACCACCAGCACCACCCCCCCTCTCACAACGGGAACCGATTACCACACTTCGTTTCTCTCGTTTTTCTTTACATACAGTTTCTTGCCGCGACCAGTCCGCTCGAAACGGTCAGTTTTCCCTTCTCCTTATTCTTGTTTCGGAAATCTTTTTACACTTTCGCAAACGACGCGGCCGGAACGGGGGTGTACGAACGTTTGAAAAACGCAGTTGAAACTCGTATTGCGCGGTGGTCGTGTACGCGGCCGTTCGCGATATGGAGCCAGCAAACAACGACCGAATCGGTCGGCTGCGACGCCACGGCGTCCCGACGTCCTGCGCATTGCACGCGAGAAACCCGCCCCTCTCAACCCCCGCGGCGGACGTCGTCGCAGGGGCGCAGAGAACATCTGAGTCATTCCTTGCGAAGCCCCCGTCTACGTGCCGCGCAACGTAAATATGTATGACCCTAGGCCGACGAACACGTCGACGATGATGATGTGACGCGATGCTCGACAGCTCCGACCCGCGTCGCGACGCCGAAGGGGGTGCCGTTGCATCGCTAAAGCGTATGCCGCGCTCTAATGACGCGGTTCGCAGATTATATGGATCATAAGTAGAGCGTTCCTAGCGATGACAGGGTTTTGATAGCAGTAAATTTGTATAGTCTGTGTGGGAGTAAAATTGCGACACAGCATAGGCATTATAATGCAGCGTACAATGGGTGGGATATTTATAATGCTTTGTATACGGTACAACAGGTCTGACAAGGGATTTAGTGTGTATTATGGGATGAACATCTTTTTAAGACTTCCCGTTAGCTTTCCAATTCGACGAAAGATTCTGACTATTCAAGAAACGAAAATTCAAAATATTCATCGCTTTCAGCCTCCAAAGTGGAACAGTTATTTTCTGTAACCGCCCAGGTCCCAAAAGACCTCGCAAGACGGTTTTCACCTTTCAATCTTTCAATACGTACACATTCGTATCACGTATCCGTCGGTACATTTTCATATCGTATATTTCCGGAGACTATCCCAATAAACGTCGACAGACGTTTTCACGGTGGCGCACAATACTGTGGAAAATCTGTCCTCCCTCTATTATCTGTTGCGTTTTGAATTCTTAAAGCAGAATTCGAATTATTAGAATTCTTTAATTCTAATTATTTAGATTTTTATCTAATTTAAAGGATTTATAATATCAATTTAAAAAACATTTTTAATTTTCTTTTATCGTTTAAGTATTCCAAAATAAACTCATTATTTTATAGTCTTTGTTTGTGTAAGTCACGGGCAATCTTTATATTTTCGTATAAATGCGCTATTCGTGATAATTGAATACATCTTGCCGTTTGGAATAAGAAACTGATAACTCGATAAGCGTTGATGCATTGGACAGTTCTATACCGTCGAACGAAACAGAATCCATTACACGTAGCCGGCATTTCTATTCGAGGCTGTTCGGAATTGTAAAGTGTATCGACAAGATCGGTTTGGAAGTTATCGAGCCTCCCTTACGGGGACGACCCACTTTTACTGAACAACTTTTACGTAACGCATCCCGCGATCCTTTTGCTCGGCCTGCTGGGTTCCATTAGCTGTATCCGACAAAGAAACGGCGGAACCCTCTTTGGGAGGCGTGTGGCAATTCCGAGCTCGTGTCAGTTCACGTGTCGCCATGGGAGACCGTAATAGAAGTAAACCCCTTAAACACCTAACACCGGTAATTCCTTGGCGACTCATTAAATGGCTCGCGTACTATTTGTTGTAAGCATTTTCTCCTATCGGAAAGTTCCGTATCGCAGCTAAGATTTATACGAGCCTCGTGAGTGTTTTCTGCTGTAAGATTGCAGAGACTTTAGAGAACTCTTCCATTAGGTTGAGATATTAACTTTATCCTTGGGAAATGGATCTGATGTAACCTTGATAGATCGAATCTGCTGTAAATCATTTGCAAAGAGGCTTCCTTACACGATTGCTTGTTACGATAATTTAGCACCGTTCGAAGGAAGCCTCTTCTTTGTTCGACAAATTGCGATGCTGAAGGAAGTAGATAAGGAGTTAATAACGCTGATTCTTATTACTGGCAATCAATTTCACACGTAATTCTGATGAACCTTGTGCCACATTCCCAACAATGGTAAATCTCAATTTCGATGATCATGAGATATTATCCTGACGAATGGATAAAACTTACACTTGGGTTTTTATTACATTCACGAAAATAATTATTACTTGTTGTGAAATCGTCGGACTAACTTGCCAACAAATATTTTAACATCATTCTATTGAACATTGATGACAGTGAGAAATGACTGAACGCACAGTGGATTATCGCGTGACAGTATATAAATCCTGATGTACATTTAATCAGTTGAAGATTACGCAACTGAGTCTGACAGATCGGGAACCTTTGCTAATAACGCAGTCAACGTGAGCGATTGCGAATGAAAATAGAAAGTAGCTCCCACGGACTCGTGAAAAAAGTTGCCAGTTCTATTATAAAAATGTTATGTTCCATAAAAGAAAGAAAGTTTGTTCTACGTTTCGTATCACTATATTTATTCTTTTAAAAAAAATAGATCAATATACAAGATAGATTTACAAATTCAAAGCTCGTAATGCTGTGAAAGCGTTCTCTGCTTCTCGCATCCACGAGAAATCACAATATTCTCAGGTTGAAAGCAACTCCGTTCGAACTTAAAGTAGCTGTGGAAACATTTAGTGGTTTACCGTGGCTACCAGGTGGGACCAGTACGTTGCGTACTCTTTCAGGATTGTGCCTCTGTAATCAGAAATACGACTGTTTAACTCATTTGTAGCAGAGCGTGGTTAAGGAATAATATGCCAAGTGAATTACGGATTATATATATGGTTTAATATTAAATGAATAAACG